CCAAGCCTGGAACCCGGCCGATATCGCAGGCGAGGCAGAGCGGCCAAGCAACTCTTTAACATACTTTTACATTATCTTCACTTATACACACTCTAAAATTAAAGTGAAGTTTCTCCTGCAGTCTTTTAAGACGTGTTATTACCCAGGGAGTCTTTATCACCACTACCAAGTCCAAGTTTCACCCTAGTGGAAAATTGTAATACGGACCTATTTTTTTTTCTGAGTAAGCGTCCAGTGTTGCCACTGGCGGGTGACGTCACTGGCAAATTTTTGGAATGAAAGGTTCACTATTTCACGCACACGACAGCAACAACAACTACTACTATTACTACTACTACTACTACTACTACTACTGGGATAATGAACCGAGAGGCAGGCTTCACTCTCACAGTTACGTGAACTAAACCGCCGGACAATAAAGCCAGCCTAGAGAGGATAATTACTTTCCTTGAATTGCGACATTGCAGATTAAATTAACTCTGTTGCTATCAGGCGTCAGGCGGTCCTGGCCGGGATGAAGCAGTTACAGCGTGAAGCTGCCGGGATGAAGCAGTTACAGCGTGAAGCTGCCGGGATGAAGCAGTTACAGCGTGAAGCTGCCGGGATGAAGCAGTTACAGCGTGAAGCTGCCGGGATGAAGCACTTACAGCGTGAAGCTACCGGGATGAAGCAGTTACAGCGTGAAGCTGCCGGGATGAACCAGTTACAGCGTGAAGCTGCCGGGATGAAGCAGTTACAGCGTAAAGCTGCCGGGATGAAGCAGTTACAGCGTGAAGCTCCCGGGATGAAGCAGATGAACCCCAAGGACCGCTGCTCACTCTAGTGTGTTTACAAGTGAGACCACAACATGGCCCAGTACCGTAGACCATCATGGTCCAGTACCGTAGACCATCATGGTCCAGTACCCGTAGACCATCATGGTCCAGTACCGTCCACCACCATGGCCCAGCACCGCCCACCACCATGGCCCCAGCACCGTCCACCATCATGGCCCAGCACCGTCCACCACCATGGCCCAGCACCGTCCACCATCAGCTCGCCCTTTGCTATTATCTCATACCACATCATTGGGATTTTTATTCGAACCTTGGCTTCAGTTCTCAATGGGAAGAATGGAAAGGAAAATATCTACGGCGATTACAACGCGCACCCAATTCTTGAAGGGTTGGCGAGCGACTACGATTTTTCTGTCGATAATGTTACCGAGGATGAACAAGAACAGGGGTAGGGCAGAGCAACTGTGGAACACAACTCTTTGACAGTGAGAGGAAGAACAGTCGTAAGGTTGACAGAACACTTAACAAAGAAAACAAATAGTGGAGAAGAGAGATATGGACTTCGGGAATAGCTAAAAGAAACTCAGCTTTATGTTGCTCCCAAGGGCAATATCAAAGATCCAAAACGAAGGGAAGACAATCGACTTGAGAATGGTCCAGGACGGACCGAAACGTCGTCGTCCCTTCACCTTCTAGTGTGTGGTCTGGTCAACATACTTTGCCACGTTATTGTGACTCGTCGCCTGCACGAAGAAGGGAAGGGTGAAGTGAACGGGAGGGGCGGAAGAAGTGAGGGGAAGGGAAGGGAAGATACCTATCTCTACCACCTGTACCCAGTCACCCCCATCACCATTGGGCCCAGGGAGTCAAGAGCCCCCAAGATATCGCAGGATCTAAGGGACCTACTGGAGCAGGAGCCGGGGAGGGGACTCCAGGCACACTGAAGACTTGGGGCCCGCAAGGGGTCGGTCGTTCTTCGCAAGGTTCATATGTTTCAGTTAAAGGACCTAACAGATTATATATCAATTTTGACTAGTACAAAATGTCCTCCTTCTATCCCTAACAATTATGTTAACGAACTAAGACCACTTTTTCTCGCAGAACTGCTGTCTCTAACGCTACGTATGTAGCGCAAATAGTGCGCTGTGTCTGGTGGTGTGTGTGTGTGTGTGTGTGTGTGTGTGTGTGTGTGTGTGTGTGTGTGTGTGTGTGTGTGTGTGTGTGTGTACTCACTTAGTTGTACTTGCGGGGATTGAGCTTTAGCTCTTTGGTCCCGCCTCTCAACCGTCAATCAACAGGTGTACAGGTTCCTGAGCCTACTGGGCTCTTATCATATCTACACTTGAAACACAAATATCTCTGTGGCTCATTTGGACACTCAGTTTCCACCTGTGTTCCCTACTTAGTGCGTGTGCCCCACACGCACTAGGGGAATCGTGGATGTGAAGATAACCTGTTTCGTGGGATATATTCTCACACCCACGATCACTAACGGAACACATCTTCCCGACGTCATCATCCTTCAGTTATAAAATGGCATTACAAAGGAAAATTGGTTCACTCAGGAGTGAATAACTTTGGATATAATGAAGCACAGGATTGACCAGAGGAACAGGAGGCGCCTTTGGAAGGCTGGAATCTTCCAATGTAACGTTATATCAACAAAAACAAGAGTTCAAAATGGTAAGCATTTTCAAAATGAGTCACATGTGGACAAGGAAACGGACAGAATGTACGAGTGTTCTCAAAATAGAATTATCACCCGAGGGAGCCGTGAGTGTTCAACGCTTGTCGTTAACGAAGATGTGTTTGCCGGCGAGGACAGTCTTAGCAAGGTCCCTCGCACAGATATAAAGAGAACGATTGTCTGCATAATTCCTCGCTCCACAACCTTCCCCCTCCCCAACCCCTCATTATAAAACTCTCCGCCTAGCTAAACACGCCCCTTCCCTCTCCACGGTCGCTATACATCCCTTTTTCACACGCCCCCTCCCCGCTTACACCCCCCAGAAGTCACGACCTCTCCGTAGGGTGCAGTCGCACCTCCACAGATCTCCAGTAACAGCTAATGATACTGGTAATGGCTCCAAAGGGCCACCACATACGGGCTATTCATGCCCGTGCCACCTTTTAGGTGGCATAATCTTCATCAATCTTACACCCCCGTCTTCATTATACCACCCCTTCTACAATGTCCCTCTCCGTTCTACAATCCTAAATGCACGTCTCACACCGACAGCTGACAGGTGTAGTGTGTTTTCAGAGTGTGCTGGTATGTCGTTTTGCCCCTCTGTCTAATATTAGTACGTTGCTCGCCCTATATCCATCTCCCTCACTCATCTTCACCCCTTCCGTTACTCACCTGTCCTCTTCACAAGTCATTTTTCTTCCAACCATTCTCTCTCTGGCTTACCCTCACCATGAACCTCCTTCAGTGTTTTGAATCTTTCTCCCTCTCTCCCTCTCCCTCTCTCGTCTTTATTCCTCTTCAATAATTAATAACCTCGCAAACCTCCACTCTTATCTCCTCCCTGACTCACCACCTCTCTCATCTCTCTTACCTCTTATTCCCTCACACTCTCTCCATCACAATATTCATAATTCCCCCTCAGCCAGCACACAGCTGTCTCCTCCACACACACACGCCCATTGTTACAGCACTAGGCTGCGCTCACCTTCCTGGTGGTGCTGCTGCTACTTCACTCCCACACTCTGGCCCCTTCTTCCTCCCTCTTAGTACTCTCTGCCTCTCCCTCCCCTCCTCCACCTGCCCAACTCTCCACTAGCACACCCCTTACCTTGAGGTTACCTTGAGATGCTTCCGGGGCTTAGCGTCCCCGCGGCCCGGTCGTCGACCAGGCCTCCAAACCGTGCAACCTAAACTCATTTTACTAGTGGCGGTGATCGTCGCATACACTCATCAACTGTACATATGCTGTCAAAGGTGTTTGTATTTATCCACGGTGTTGGTCGAGGGCCTACATGCTGGAGGACGAGCCAAAATGAGGACCATATTAAATCCAACATCATTTAAGTGTTTGAGCGACTGAACATCGTCAAGGCATTCATAACCTATAGCCTAGCAACTTTGGCTATTTATATGCAAGAAAATATGCACTGCTAAGTGTCCCCAGGACACTTGCACTTCAGGGAACTTTTACCTGGGCAAGAAGAAAAATAACACGATAAATATCACTATAACGTAATACTACAGTGAACGTGTTGCCTGGCAAACTATGTTAAACAGCAATTACTGTTGCAATTAACTGTGCTCCAAGAAGACAAGGGCGAGGGCACCACCACAGGTTTTATATATATATATATATATATATATATATATATATATATATATATATATATATATATATATATATATATATATATATATATATATATATATATATATATATACATATATACATATATACATATATTATATATATTATATATATATATATATATATTATATATATATATATATATTATTATATGGTAATAATCACTCATTTGCTATTGATAAAAGTTGAGTGGCTCCTGGCATGGCCGCCCTGCACGTTCACACACTGGGTGGTGAAGATTAAGCCACCCAAGAGGTGGCATTGGCATGAATAGCCCGTAAATAAGCCCCCGTGTATGTGCAAGACTTTTATACCTTATGCAGTTCCCTAATACAGTCCTTCACATCATGGGATGCGCATTCGAATCATATTTATGTATATGTACAGCCAAAGGGTAAGTTACAGATCAAGTAACACAGATGAGTGAGCAGGTGGAATAAGGACCACAGTCACGGACCATGGCCAAGGACCAGCAAAAAGATGCCGGTCACGGTCAAGGACCATGGTCAAAGGCCATGATCTGTCACCACGGTCACAGATCACGCCCAAGGACCCTGGTCACGGACCACGGTCAAGGGTAACAGCCAAGGGCCGTTAGTCAAGTAAAACATCAAAGACACGCCCCGAAAACGCTCTCGTCCCCCTCCCCCCCTGCAGCATGTCCCCCCTCCCACCCCGCAGAATTCCCCCCTCCCACCGTGCAGAATGTCCCCCCCCCTCCCCCCTGCAGCATGTCCCCCCTCCCACCCTGCAGAATGTCAACTGTAACATAAAACAAGGGACATTATAGACCAAGTTGCACTAAAATGATTGCTAACTATTCTTTCCAAGTATCACCTGTGTCTATTTCATGTGTGGCCAGGAACATTTGGGTTGGATACCTCACCTGGAGTTTGATATACGAGGCCATTTCTTCTACCGGAGGTGGGAGGTGGTGGCCAAGGTGGTGATGATGGTGGTGGCCGGTGCTGTTGCTGCTACTGGTGTTGGTGGTGGTGGCAGTGGTTGTGATGGTATTGGTGTTGGTGGTGGTGATGGAGGTGGTGGTGGTGGTGGTGGTGGTGGTGGTGGTGATGCTTCAGCCTCCAGATCAATAATCACCAGGGGGACTCCTCACCACCCACCCAGTGTGTGTGTGTGCGTTTCATTCGTGACGTCACGGACTACGCAAGTATTGCGTCACGGGTGACGTCAAGGACAATGCACATGTGAGAGGTGCTCAAGGCTGGAAGAATATGGGCGGTGTCTTTACGAGTACCAGAAGTACTTGCGAGACCTCTATAGTGTTCCGTTCCTTAGTTACTCTGGCCAACATGTGACGATGAATGTCTTCCACCGGTATGAAGGTGTTTGTAAACACATCTGTTTCGCTGTTCCAAATGTTCTCTCAACATATATATTTAATTTCGTATAAGGTACACTACAAAGAGCTGTTAAACTCTCAATTACCTCTCCTGGTAAACTCTTCCACATGTTAGGTACCCGGGGGCGGGGGAGGGGGAGGGAGCTAGATGGAATGGGGGGTGGGAGGGAATGGCATGTTACATTGAGTGGGGGGAAGGGAATGGCATGCTACATGGAGTGGGGGGAGGGAATAGCATGCTACATGGAGTGGGGGGAAGGGAATGGCATGCTACAGGAAGAGTGAGAAGGAGCGACATACTTCAGGAAGAGGGGCAGGAGGAGAAGCGGCATGCTTTATGGAGAGAAGAGAGTTGAAGTGGCATGATGCAGGGAGAGGGGGGAAAGGTGGAAGAGGCATGCTCCAGAGAGGGACTGCCACACTCCACATGGCGGGGGATGAAGAACCAGCAAGTACAGGGCTATGGGCCGTAGGGCGGCACCAGCCGGAGAGTGGCCAGCAGCACACACTGGGGCCCAGAGGAGACACCAAGAAAGGCGTCTATGTTGATTAATATTATATATTTATTATTGCAGCGCCATCTGACCTGCTCAAGCTTATAAACAGGAACTGCGCTCTTGGTGTCCACGGAGAGTGGAGTGGGGCTTATTACTTGTGGTTTCGATTTTTTTTTATATAATTTCTCCTACACATTAAAATACTTATATAGAGAAACGTTAATTAAGCATGTTCATCTGTGTGCTGTTCGTTGTTTATTCTGAGATCACTATACGTGTGGGATAGAAGATAATCCACAAATAAAACTCAACAATTTACTTACAAAAGAAAAAATATATTAGTTTTGGCTGAAATCGTTCACTATTATTATTAGGATCATTTGATAAAATCCTACACTTATGTATTTGTGTATTTTATGTAAAGATTTACACCAAGTGTTTCGCACTCTCCTGAGTGTTTTATCAAAGTCTGAGTGTGTGATTAGGACCAGACTTACATCTCAACGGCTAATACCGGTATTATTAATTGTTTGGTAATGAACCGTTGAGATATAAGTCTCGTCCTAACCACACACTCAGACCTTGGTAAAGCACTCAGGAGAGTGCGAAAGACCTGGAGTAAATCTTTACATAAAATACACAAATTGACAAGTGTGGGTTGTTATCATGTTATTATGTCTGCGAGAAGACGTTGCCACTACTTATTGTCATCTTTATCCACGAAATATACAATTTTGCCTAATGTGAGTAATTCAAGTTGGTCTTATTACAGTGAGGTGCTGCTGGTATTCCCTGCCACACGCAGCCAGGAGATCACACACAAGACAACAGGTCTAAATTGTAGTGAAGTTAGTCAAAATCTTGGTTCAGGGAAATGTGTGGCGACCAGGCAGCCTCCCGGGCCGCGGCAAGCACTTCTCACCATCACTATACCACAAATACCGCTGGTAAGGAACTTGTACTGCGAGCGACTTCCTTACCTTACGACCATGGTCATAGGGCTCATGAACAAGGTAAGCAAGTAAGTGGTTTGTAAGATGGGTGAGCTTACGGCGAGCATATCTATTGGAGAAATAGGGTTTCAACTAAGGGGGGGAATTACCCCAAGGGAGGGGGGTTGGGAATTGGGATCAGACTCACTCCTGAATTATTGATATTTCTACAATCTACAGTTCTACAGAATGTATATAATCTATAGGTCATCACACTTTATTATATGTAACAGATTAAGCTAAAAATAAAGATTAAATATTTAACTTTTCACCTGTGGAAATATTCCATTTATAATATAATTGACTTTTTTGTTTTTGTGTTCAAAGATTTTCAGTGTGGTGAGGTACAGTTTCTTAAACCTTTGCTCTTAATGAATTCTTCGTTGTTCTGGTACAAGCCTCGTTGCATACTTCTGGGCCTTTTCCTAATTTGGTTATATGGTTCTTTGAGCGGCGGCTGGTCGACGCTAGAGCGGCACCCTCTAGAGTGGCTTCACGAACCTTGTGTACTCTGAATGCCTTCCTCCAGGATCCTAGACGCTATATTTATGCTTGCCAGCTTCGCATATGCTACTGATGCTATCTCATCTATATGTACCTCGGGTACAGGCTATAGGTTATATGAACTCCCAGGTTCCTCTCTCTTACATCTTGTGTGTGTTATGCTGCGTTATTGGTGTTGCCATGGCATAAAGTTGCCATGTAAGCTCCAGTAGGCTGACAGGCGAGGAATCACAATAACGTGGCTGAAGTATGCTGACCAGACCACACACTAGAAAGTGAAGGAACGACGACGTTTCGGTCCGTCCTGGACTATACTCAAGTCGATTCACAATCGACTTGAGAATGATCCAGGACGGACCGAAACGTCGTGGTCCCTTCACTTTCTAGTGTATGGTCTGGTCTCCAGTAGGCTTGGTTCGTTGATAAGGCTCAAGAACGGTGTAACATTCACCTTGCTTCTCTGACTGTCGTCTTACTGTCTCACACTCGTTATTCTCCGTTTTACAGCAGTCATGATTCTCCGGTGTCTTGCACTCCCTGTACATTGTCCTCCCTGTTGTCCTGTGTTGCGCGCAGCTGCTATATTGAACCACGGCCGCATTTGTTGTTTTGATTATCTTTCTCTGAGGATTGGTGTGTGTGTGTGTGTTTGTTTGCAATTTCTGCCTGTTGGATCAAGCTGTTAGCTCATGGACCCCGCCTTTCTAACAGTCAGTGTCTAATGTACTGACTCCAGACCTATTTTCCTATATCATACCTATTACATATATTTCTCTCTAACGCACATACATCCCCATGATGCAGCCCGTAGCAACTGTAACTCACAGGTAATTATTTACTGCTAAGTGAACGCAGGCACCAACTTAAAAAATCTCTCCCCCATTTGGTTCTGCCTCGACCTGGAATCGAACCCGGAACCTTAGGACTACGACCCCAGAGCACTGTCAGCTCGGCTGCCAGGACCTGTGTGTGTATGTGTCTACTCACTTACATGTACTCACCTAGATGTGTTTGTAGGGTCGAGCTAGGCTCCTAGGTCCGCCTTCCAAACGTTCTTTGATTAATGTATTGCCTCATTTCTCACGGTTTTATCATATTTACATTTAATATTTCTAATCAAATTAGCTTCAACGTGTTTTTCGTCTAACCTATTCCACTTACCGACAGCTCTAACACTGAAAACGTTCTTCCTGATGTTTCTTGTGTTATTTGCGTCTCTAGTTTTCATCTATGACCCCTCGTTCTGCTGTTCCTAGCTTTAAAAATTTTAATTTTTAAATTTTGTGTTTACTTTCTCAATTTCCTTTAGAATCTTATATGTTGTTATCATATCCCAACATCTCCTCTTTCCTCTAGTGTGGTAAGGTCCACTTCTCCCATTCTTTTCTCATACTTCAATCCCTTCAACCCAGGAAAGTCTCGTTGCATATCTTTGAACCTTTTCTAATTTCTCCTTGCTCTTTTTCAGGTAAGGGTTCCATGCTGGGGCTGTATATTCAAGAATGCGTCTCGCCTTCGCCCTTATAAAGGCGAAGGCCCCTGTATAAGGGCCAAAGGGCCCTTATACAGGGCCCTTTGTCCAGGTGTCTGAGGGATACACAGACCTTGGCCAGTCTGTCATATGCAGCTGTTGTTATTCTGCTCGTGGGGGCTTCTGGCGTCAGATTTGGAATTACGTTCATTTCCGGGTCTTTCTCCTCCTCTGATTGAAGAATCTGTCTTCCATTCAACCAATACTACTGTACCAGCCTGATCTCGCGAGCGTTCCCAACGTAAAGAAGCATGTCGTTTCATGTAAAGAAAGAAATTGTCGTACTAAAGTGCCTTATCCTATCCTCCCGATGACCCACTAACAGAAAACGGGACAGTATGTAAATTTCGTGAGCCGCTACCATTTTCTAGTATGACAGTTTTTGGCCTTATGTAAAGTTTACGTCAAAATGCGATGTGTTAATGGGAGTACGGGTTGCTGTACCGGTCTTGACACTTCTAATTCAATCTTCATAACCTTGCATTTGGCTGGGTTAAATTCTAACAGCTATTTTTTAAACCACTTCTGGAGTGTGTCCAAATTCGTTTGCAATGCATCACAATCTGTCCTGACTTTTCTCATTTTGCATGAAGGAGCCAATTTTCTGTCAGGTCGTTGACGCGCGCGCGCGCGTGTGTGTACTCACCTAATTGTGCTTGCGGGGGTTGAGCTCTGGCTCTTTGGTCCCGCCTCTCAACTGTCAATCAACTGGTGTACAGATTCCTGAGCCTACTGGGCTCTATCATAGCTACATTTGAAACTGTGTATGGAGTCAGCCTCCACCACATCACTGCCTAGTGCATTCCATTTATTAACTACTCTGACACTGAACAAATACTTTCTAACGTCTCTGTGGCTCATCTGTTTCCACCTGTGTCGCCTTGTTCGTGTCCCACCCGTGCTGAAGAGTTTGTCTTTGTACACCCTGTCAATTCCCCAAAGAATTTTGTAGGTGGTTATCATGTCTCCCCTTACGGGGAGACCCTTGTGTGTGTGTATGTGTGTGTGTCAACGTTCGTGTCAATGATCAACGTGTGTGTGTGTGTCTGTATTGCAACCAAGCTTTTGAAACAGGTATAAAACTTTTAAGTGGGGAAATAGTACGCAGGTAACTTAGGTTTAGGAACTTCGTCACGCCCATTTTATGTTATCTTTGTGTTTATGTACACACACACACACACACGTTAATCATTGTGAGGCTTCCGCTAATGGGGAGCCCCTAATACATCTCCGGCACACAAAGAAAAATGCTGTTACAAGATTTGAGTTTTTTTATGAAATTTAAAGAAGGAATAATGCTTAATTTAAATTGTTTTTGCCCAGGAGACTACAAATAACCGAAATCAAATCTCTTTGATTTGGTCCAACGCGACAGAGGTGTTTACAACAACGCTCAATGATGAATACAATATAAACACGAGCAGACAAGTGACGAATATTCCTGTCGTTATTTACGAAGATTTTTCAGCCCAATGCGTAGTGGTTCTCACGGTTCTCAGATCAAGAACTGGCGCCTCCCACCCGTCGCTGAGTGGATGTTTGTGTTGAAGATAAGTCGAGGTACGTGGGTGTTGGCAGTTTGTGGTCCTCCTAAGGTTCTCCAACGTCAAGAAATTGTTCTAAAGTTCCCCCCTCACTTAGCCTATCAGAGAACCCAAAACGGGACAGTGTGGCATTTTCGCGAGCCGCGGCCATTTCTAGTACGACAGTTTTTGGCCTTAGGTAGAGTATACGTCAAACTGCGACGTACTTTTAGGACGCTGCTGCACCTTCAGTGGTGTGCAGCTCTGAGTGCTGGCTGGGTCGCTAGCCTTGTAACTCCGTCGCTCTTATTCCTACCTTTCTTTGTCTAAATTGTCATTTAGATATCACTTTTTATCCATTCCTGTCTGTTTTCTCTACTATTGCTTGATCAACATTATCTTATCACTTCGTATCAATAGTTAACCTATCCACCTATAGTTAACCTATAAGCCTGGTGGACCAAACTCTCACAAGTCGAGCCTGGCCTCGGGCCGGGCTTGGGGAGTAGAAGAACTCCCAGAACCCCATCAACCAGGTATCAACCAGGTAAGTCGAGGTCTTGAGGGGCCTGGGCGCCACGTCACCGCCACACCCTGCACCTCGTCACCGCCACACCCCGCACCACGTCACCGCCACACCCCGCACCTCGTCACCGCCACACCCTGCACCTCGTCACCGCCACACCCCGCACCTCGTCACCGCCACACCCCGCACCTCGTCACCGCCACACCCCGCACCTCGTCACCGCCACACCCCGCACCTCGTCACCGCCACACCCCGCACCTCGTCACCGCCACACCCCGCACCTCGTCACCGCCACACCCTGCACCTCGTCACCGCCACACCCCGCACCTCGTCACCGCCACACCCCGCACCTCGTCACCGCCACA